TATATATATATACATACACATATACATATATATATATATATATATATACATGTGTCATCGGTGAAAAGTGTTAAGAGTGTACGTCCAAAGTAACAAGCGACATTGCTATTAAAATTAGACTCTTACAGGGAATTCGTGTAAAGAAGAGTATTTTTGTTAACAGACGCGACTTCCGTTCTGTTGAGTAGCCAGCCGAGCACCGGTGGCCCCTGGAAACGTGCAAGAATAATAATCGATGTTTTGTCAACCCTTCGAGCATCTGGTCCATATATCGAATGGACGGCTGTTACTAGTCGGAATGCTTTGATTAAGGGTTAACGACTCGAATGACCAAAAATTTGCTTTTCAAAATTAAATTCAAGAAAATCATTTTTTTTTTATCATCTGGTGGGTGTAATTGTCAGAACGAGGACTTTTACGTTAATTTCACGAGAAACTGCGCGTTGATCACGATTTCAGGAGCCACAAAAGCCCGAGGCAAATGTATTATTCGGAACCGTGGGGGGGGGGGCAGGCACCACCACCTCCATCCGCTTACTAGTACAATAGAAATATTAGAAACTTCAACAGTCACGTTAAACTTTCGAATCAGCAAAGAATCATCGTCACCGCTAGAGTGGATGCATTCAACAGCTACAAAAATAACACGACCACTGCTAGACGAATGGAGCTGTTTGGTCAATTGACTTCGGAGAACGTGTCCGCTTTTTTGTTGCCTCTAAAGGTACCAACCGATTTCAAAACCCAATTTAGAAGAAGCCCCGGGGAGGAGGGTGGATTTTTTTGGGGGGGGGGGCTGGGATGGGTCACGTGACACACTCTCCCGTAAGTAATAATATTGGTGTTGTTGTCGGTATTTCAGCCCTCCCACGCAAGTTACAGTCGAAAGATTACATAATATCTTGCAACACGGTATTCGACCACTATGCATAATACTTTTATACGCGGTGTTTATATATACGCGTGCGTGCACGCCACCACACGTAAAACACACAGTGGTCCAGAATCGAAATTCAGCAGCCCAGCAAGCTTCTTTAAAAAGTTTCGTAAATTTTAGGGATCCTCTTTCGATGACGTCATCGTTCGCTTAACAGTTTCTCGATATCCTTCGTGAATGTATGAATTTTGTGGGAAATTGTTTTTATATTCCTGACTGAGATCGATGATACGAATGGGATGTAAGGAGAACAGTGATACATGAAACAAATTATCCTTTGGTAATAATATATATTGGTAATAATATGTATATCGATGTGAATATTGCTTTTGGGAAACGATAGAAAATGATTTTGACCATTCGGAGCTGCTAAATTTCGATTCTGGACCACTGTGCGTAAGTGACACGTGCGCGTAAACACACCCTTGTGTGTCCCTCTGTGACCTGTCCTGTACGTGTGTCCTGCGTGTGTGTTTATTCTCATGTACGTTGTATTAACTCTGTCCCTAGTTTTATGCGGTAGTGGATGTAGTAATCATTGCAATGATAATCGTAACAATAATAATAATTTATTACATAATATTTATAGCTTTTTCGTCTCTTATAGTACATCGCGTCTTTCGCCTCGATAAAAAGGTACTTCCTCCCGCGGCCCGGCCTTAATATGTACTGGTTTTCTTTTTTATTCTTCTTTCATTCATTGACGTCTTTTGTTTTTTAGTCGTGGCAGCCCAAAGAACACTCAACAAGTAAACACGGTCTTTGGGCCTTTGGTTAGACTTTTACAATATTATTCTCACTTTCTCTCTTTCTTTCTCTCGCTCAATCTCTCTTTCTCTCTTTCTTTCTCATATTTAGAACAACTTGATCATACCCCCCAATCGAAACGGTTCATTTACCTTTACATTACATCCTGGCTCCAGTAGATCGGATGTGCTCGTTCCACAGGACGGTCTTCTCCGAAAACAAAACCAAAAAAGGCTGCGACACCAATTCTCGTGTTTCCACATCCGTTTGTTCTACGGCACAACAACAATTTTTACCATTACAGCGTTCCCCGCCACGCTCCCCCGAAGCGATTCAAAACGTTGCGGTTGTTTTTAAACGTGAAAATAAACCGGCGGCTATATTCGAAAGAAGCTAGTTCCGAAACTGGGGGAATTCCTCTTGACCTTCCAGATGCGCGAGCACCTCTTCGCTGCTTCGTACGATTGCAACTGCGGGGCGCCGTCATCTTGTGCCTTCGTTCCGATTCTTCGACTCCCTCTGACGCCTCCCCCACACACTACGATATCACCAACAGATTTTTTTTGCTCTCACCGGATAACAACGCGGGTTGAAACACATTAACGGACTGAATAACAAACGTTTTCCGTCCCCACAAACATCGTGTACCTCCTTCTCTGCGGTTAGTCCCTTTTTATAAATGAAAGAAAACAAAAGTGTGTAATCGTATTATATATGTATATATAGGTTATGTTCTCTTTCTGTTACTTTGTCCCCCTCCTCTTCACCGTAAATCTTCCTTGAGCGCCGCGTAAACGTCGTCCGTTCGAACACTCGTAAAATCACAGAGAATCACACGCATCATCATCATTGTCTCTCTTTCTCTTTCTCTATCACACGCCTTGTTGCCTTTCGTGGTTTCATTAGGATTCACACGCCTGGCACCGCGACGGACTTACACACGCTCTCTATATAAACTTTCTAGGCCTGGCACGTTCGTCGTCCGTTAGAAGAGGATCTTCGTCCGTTGTCGCGCGTTTTGTCGCTTTTTTTGTTTCGTTTCGCTGTGCACGGACACACACACACACACACACATACACACACACACCACACACATACACGTACACACACACTCACGCTTCCGTCGACTTTTATCGGGTGAAGAGACTCTCGCGGCAGAGGAAATGGCTCCGTGTTCTCCAACCGGCGACACAGCCCGCCTTAACACCGATACTACCTTTTGCTTTCGGTTTTGCGAACACACTCCTAGACCACCAGGGGGACTGACCTACGAATGTCCCCCCCACCTCCAACGTGTCAGACCCACCTCGGTTCCTACGCATCCCGTAGTGGTTTGTGTATTTCGGTCGCCTATTTTATTGCTCTTGAAATCGAGTTTTTATTCGCCGTGATACGGGACGGCCGGTTTAAACCCCGGATCCACGATCACACCTGTGTCGCCATTGGAGAAGTCTGACCAATTTTGGCCCCGGGCCCACGGGTTTCACGCGCGGATTCTGGACAAACGTTGCCGTCACGGTTAATATAAGAAGGCGCTAGAAACCGATCGCTAGAGGACTACTTGGCATTGCGTATATCTATGTATAGACTTGCTTCACTAGAGTTAGCGTCCAGAATCCGGGCTTAAAAAGACAGCCCTACGGCCAAATTGATCCGATCGACGGGGTGCGCGCATACCACCACCGACTTTCTTTCTTCCTTCTCTTCGCATGGAGCCGTTTTAATATCTCTCTGTATGCTAGTATAACGAGTGTCGTCATTGATACGAGTCCTTGTGGAACGTGTCGCTCTTGTGGAAGATCTTTCGTCCCTCCCTGGAGAGCTCTTGGCTCGCGAAATTGTTCTCAGACTTCGGTCTGGGTAACAGGCGACCTGGAAGGGTTCTCAGCTCCATGCTGTGCACCTGAAAAAGAATATTTTCTATTGTAGACAACCGATGTGTCGCTGTTAAATGCCCGTCTAACGTCGTCTACCGTCGTTTCTATGGGATGAGTGTTTCTTTAATCTTTTCGAGACCGACGGGACAATACGTCTCAAATAAGATATTTTATCAAAGGATCGTTTCGATCGATTATCGATGTCGAATTCGAAGCAACGAGAACGGTTCATATTTCATATTTTCAAACAATATCGTCGGAGAACTGTATTTACCGATTCTTCGCTGCCGCTGGCGTGTGCGGCCTGCTCCGCGAGCGCGTTCACGACAGCGTTTATCGTTTTTGACTCGCTGCCAAGATCCTCCTCCCGATGGGCCACCAGGTTTGGGTTCTTACCAATTTTGTTCAACCTACAACGAGAGCATAATTAAGCGTAGGGAATGTCGCACGGAACACGACCCACGATTACTCACAACAGAATGTTTAGACTTACAAACCGTTTAGCAGTACAGACAGGTTTACCCTAACCCAGAAATGATTATTATCCCGCCACGACTAGCAACAGAGTTGTATTATTTGCTCTAATTACCACTTGCACCGCTAAAGGTTTTACAATGTGAGGTGGTACAAGATTGGGTAAAAGGAAGTCAACAGCTTTGAAAGGCGTCGCGCAGAGTCACATCCCGAATTGAATATTAGAGACGTGGAGAACGCGCGAGCCATCGTTTGGATCGGCTCCAATAGTGTTCTTATCACCGGTTTCCGTATATTATATGTATATTCGTAAATGTCTATAAAGATTATGTGTGGGTCTCTTTATCGAATATACAAAGTGTGTCGGATAAAGAGTCACATGTACCTATACAGGTTGTCTTAAAATAGGCGTAAATCCTTGAAAGGGGTGATTCCTGGGGTAATTGGGAACAACCTTTTTCCTTAACGAAACATTTGTTTCAAATCATCTCAGGAATCACCCCTTCAAGGACTTACAACTATTTTGGAACACCCTGTATGTGTTTCCTTCGAGACTTTTTGATTTGTTACCGTGCGTTATGTGACCTCGGTATAGAGGATGAAAAGAAATGTTTTGTCCTCCATCTTTTTTAATGGGTAACATCCTACTTTGACAGCCGAATAAGTTAAGCTACCTATAGGGACTTTTTCTTTAGTAAATACAATATACATAACCAAATTCACCTATTTGTTGAACTACTTATAAATAATATTAAAAAAATGCAAGGATAATCTTATTTGTTTTCGTTCTAAATTTTTCCCTAGCATGAAAGTGACATTTCAGTAGATATATTTTTCCTTTGGAGCTGACTGAGACATGTAAGAACTCTAATATCTTACAGTAATCACTAGAAAGGAAATATTTCTTACGCTACTTTTAACCAGCCCCGAAGAAAACACAGCTTGTAACCATTTTAGCTATGACACCTTCGTATAATTTCCACCCAGAAATATTTTATTTTTCCTGTTCGACTCCGTTCCGACTGAAAGAACATCAATATTCAATTTTGATATAATATTTGCATTTTGAAAGATGCCCGACGTGACTGTCGCGGGACGATAAATGTGACTCCGCAGCGACGCAGCAAAAGAGAATCCAACTGATTTATAAAGTATGTTATGCAAACTTATCAATATAACATTATTATGTAGTGAATGTGTCGAGAGTGTAGAAATATAAGTATATTCTGTCGCGATGTATCACACGGCAATATCGACCGGATCGCATTATGTATAAACCCGCGTAAGTTCGACGGGGTACGCCCCGAAACGTGGAACGGAGATTTCGAACAGAGAATAAAAAAAGAAAAAGAAAAAGGAACAAGAACAAAAATATTTTGTTCGTTTTTAACCCTCTCAACTCATTACGAACGCGTATCCGATAGATACGCGTCCCATTGTTCGCAAGTTAGTGCGCTCTCTCGTTGTAAAACTTTCTCCCCCAAAAGATTCTGCACTGTCACGTAGAAAAACACGAGTGTTCTCATATTCGTTCGTTTTTTTTTTACTGTATGTATGTACAGTGTGTCGCTCCGTCGCGACGAAACTTCTGGAATTTCCGTGAACCGACACCAAACTAACAATCGCAATAAACAAAAGTCAAACAATATTCAACCCATTGATTCCCAAATTATTTGCATACGACCAAAGAAATATTTGGTTTTGAATAACGTGATATTACAATTTTGTTTCTTTAACATTTACCATATTTTTACCATATTATCATTCCCGGACAAGAGTTCAAGGAAATTCTCAAAATTTCGCGGCGACACTCACGTGGTACACCCCGCACATACATACATATATATGTGTATACGTATAACATATACCGGCGCAAAGTATCATTCTGTGTCGTGTAAATGTGTATGTAAGAAAACAAGCACATCGAGTTCGAGAATCAGCGCGGTACAAAGAGGAAATTATAATATATATTGAGTAACAATGTTAAAGAGAAAGAAGAGAAGCCTTTGACCATGACATAATGCTCGGACAGCAAGAAGAATGATTGATACTCGAGAAACAGCGGCGCGGTCGGACAGTACACAATGCTCAAAAAAAGTCGACATGGAGGTGGGGAGTGATGATTGACATCTAGTAGCACACCAACTCGATAGAACAAACCTAACCAAAGCTTATACCTCTCGGCGGCAACGCTCTCCATCGTTCTGCGCATTAACGGATACTGGTCCAATACGGCGTTGAAATGATCCACCGAGAGGCTGAAGAGATTGCAGTAGGTCTCCGCGCGGACCGATGCGACCCTCCTCGCGTTCGTCAGCAGGCAAATCTCGCCGAAATACGAGCCATCAGAGAGCGAGGTCGCGACCTCCCCGCTCGCCATCACGATATCGACTATTCCCTCTTGGATGAAATACATTTTCGATCCGATCGTGCCTTCCTTGATGATGATGTCACCTGAAACGTTCAACCACCGCCCGCCCCCACCAGGCGTCATGTTCTTGTTCTACGATCTATGACAATCTCGATACCGATACGTGTTGACTATCATTCGAACAGTTCGATACTAAAGTACACAAATGGAAAGTATCGAAAGATATCGAAATTTTAGGTATTTGGTAACATGTTTCGATACTGATACACGTTAATGATATTCGAACGATTCGATACTAAAGCAGTCAAATGGGAAGTATCGAATGGTATCGAAATTTTAGGTACTTGGTAGTAAGTTTTGATAACGATACATGTTAATGATATTTAAAAAGATTCTATTCTATTTTTCGGTTCTATTCGATACGGTATCATAATTTTCTGACTGGAATCAATGGAACGGTTTCGGTATCATTAATCGAAACTACAACCGCAATTTCTGTGCATTACAGGGAAATGGTCGTTGTCAGCGAATGATCCAGAGATCGTCGCATATCGTTGTCTTGGAAATTCCGACGAATCGGCCGAACCAGCTGAACCGATCAAAATGCCAACGGAACAGAGATAGAACGTAGGTGACTCATGGTTTCGAAGACCGTGTACAGTTTTTCTGTGGCCTCAATTTAGTTCACTTAAGAGACTGTTACGTGGATCTGTTCTCTTCGCGGCGCCTCTTAACAAGATGCGATTAATGATTATGTCCTGTAATGTCGATGCAACGAGGAGGGAAGGAGGGATAGAACATTCTCGGCGAAGAAACGAAAAACGACGATTCGGTGTTATACCTGGTTGGAAGACCTCGTATCTAAGTTTCGTGACGACGTCCGAAACGAAGTTCGAATCGGCATTGGCGAAGAACGGCACGGAGGCGACCAGCGATCTGCAGTTGTAGTTGATCACGTCCTGAAATAGCGAAACAGAAAAAATACGAAAAAGAGAGTAGAACGTGTCGCGACAAAGGGATCGAGCGGACACAACTCTGGGTGAAGCCAGGTTGTTCCCGTTCGGCGTACTTCTCTCAGTTTCTCCGACAACTCGCCGAGAATCAATTCCTCGTCGAAGAATTTCCCTTGGTAACGGTGCTCGAAGTACTCCGTGATCCTCTGTCTCATTTCGCGCGGTAACTTCCGGTAGGCCATGTATTCCTCCACTTGCTTCACCTGATGTTGCGAGCAAGACAGACGATTAATTTCTGGTACGTTCCTTCGAGGACTTTTGATGTCGGAATCGCGAAAGGGATTTGGGGATGACACGGGACGAACGTAACTATTGTTATTAAACAAATGCAAATCGACCAACAATCGTCACCATTCATCTTTATACAAACATTTCATTTTTCCCACACCTCAGTTATCACCAACAAATTCTATAAAATTTAAATATCACAGACTCAAAAAAAGAAACCAAATTGTTACGTTTCTCCCTGGTCTCCCTTACGCCTTTGTGACGTTATGATTTGCTTCTCAACATAGATAAAATTGACGTTAGCCTCTCTTGTTAGTCAAATTCCTACATGTTGTTTACCTTCTCGCGGTATTGTCTTCTCGAGGAATCGAGAGATTGAATGAGATTCGTCGCGTGTCCGAGGAACAGCGCGTAACAGGTAGCACCGCTGATCATGCTGAGCATCGTGAGCCACATGTCGGTCAAGGACTGCGGCGGGAACCTTCCGTATCCTATGCAGAGCATGTGCGACATGGCTTTGAAAAGGGCCCACGAGTACTGTTCCAACCAGAATGAGTCCTGGAAAAAAAATCAGAGCAGAGACATTATGTCGGCGACACATGAGTCACTGGGCTCACGTTACATCTGTGCTACGTTTGCCTATGATAACAAAATCTGTAAACTATTATTCCCATGGCTTCAAAGGAATTCCCAAAAAGCTTCGTTCTATGTATGAAAACTGTTATGATACCGATTTAGGTTCTTGAAACAATTGCGAAGAACCCAAATTTTAGACTATGCATATACATAGTCTGAAATTTAGGTTCTTCCATGTAACAGTTATTCAGAATAAAGGTTTTTCATAACTGTTTCAATTGGAACCTGCAAATAACAGTGTGAAATAGTTATTTTCGGAATCATTTCAAGCCCTGGGCTTTTAACCCTTAACTGCAGAGACGACTCTCGTCCCTCGGGGATGAATAATTCGACAACGACTATTTTGTAAACACTTTTAACGACCAACTCCATGGTACTTTTTCGATACTGTTTATTCAAACATCTAGAGCTTCTAAAATTCTCCGCCAGGCGGCGACAGTGAAAGAACAAAATTCGGAGACCAGTAGCTAAACCAAGAATCATCGACCGAAATACTTTCCGTCGATATAAAAGTGAAAATACTTTCCCAACCATTGAAGGGGTAGGTAAATTGACAGGCTGGATGAAGTTTGTGGTTGAAAGTAATACTTACTTGCAACTCGTTAATGGCGACCCATGAGTTACTAGGAAACCCTTGGAGCATAGGAACCAGGAATTGCAGGCAGCCACTCCAGTGGCCGATCAGGAGCATCATGCAAATCAGGTTAAAAATCCGCATGAACACCGATGCCATATTCAGGAACTGCCAACAACAACGACAAACGGTTTATTCTCGTGTCGAACGAACAGCCAGCCGTGGGTTCTGTGTGTTCTTCACAACACCGGTTAAGGAACATCTGTCGTTACCCAAAAGCTTCCGGTTGCGTAGTGTACACAGCAAACAAAAGGTAAAGCAAGTGTGGTACAGAAACGCGTCAAATTAATCAATTCACTGGACAACATTGTCAAAAACTATTATTAGTAATTGTTATCCAAGAGTCTGAGCCGAAGACCATTCTGTAAACTACCTAATTGTTCCGTCGTCCAAGTCGAAACGAGTCATCTTGAAACAATTCTACAACATTATAAACCACCGTTTTTTCATATATATTCGAATCGAAACATTCTCAGACGTTCGAACGTTACTCGAACGTAACTCGAAACTAAACTCGAGCCAGATGTGATCAGACGACGTTCCATGGACTCGACCGTGTAAACAGTCTTTTTGCAATGAATGTTCGACGCAACCAGATGACGCGATTCGGCTCTGAACGTGAACGGTTTCAGTGTTGCTTTGTATTGTTTCTCAGCTAAGTAGTCTTCGCTGTTCATACTTCCGGGTTTTCAGTTCTCACAAGTCCAAAAAAGCATGCTACATTGGAAAAATACGCATCACGTTGCACACAAAAGAACAAGTCAACGTAACCTAAAAAACGTTTATAATAATGATTACTCTACGTATGCTCTAACAGAAGAAACAAAAATATGAACCTATACAATGTATATTTATATATGTATATATATATATATATATATATATATATATATATATATATATATATATTTTTATAATTCCATATATTTATACATATATACGTATGTGTCAACAATCTGCACTGCTGGCCAAGATTCGCAGACCCGCTTATAGGCCGGACGGCTGTTCAGAAACTGTCCACGGCGTCTAAACAGACGATCGACGGCCACATGTCGCCGATCGCGATCCGATTGACTGTAACATCAACAGCAAACCTGTGTGTTCTGTGGCTGAACAGTACGCCATAAGCACGATATGGGAATCTACGTCCGTTTCTAAAGTAAAAGAAGCTGGAGAACGCAGGAAGTACTCCGACGAGGGCGAGCTACCACCTGTTCGATATCACGACGAACATCCGGAATCGAATTCCAACAAATATTCTCTTGAACGTGGAAATTCGAAAAATTGGCAGGCCTCGGATAGGAGTACATACATATTTTGGCGAATACCGAATGCTAACAATTAAATATTTATATTGATAATAAGATAAAATTTTGTTGAATATTGTAATAAATAACTATTCAGTAGTAGATATTATAGTGTGTTTGATTATTTCACTACTTTCTCACTTTTGTAATATTAAACTTCCTAAATTTTAAACATAGTTTTCTCAGTTTACAGACTAGTGGAGGTAGAACAATTAAGAACCCGAGCGACGAATATAGTAGCATAACTATTTTTAATTTGTTCCCCTTCTATTGCCCGATATCTCCTCAAATATAAATGTGGTCTCATATTTAGTGCAGTTAACTTGCACGAAAAAATTGACTGACTTCGATTATTCCGAAATAGTCCTAGGCAGTCATCCATAGCGTTAATTCGAGTGAACTCCACGAACCCAAAAGACGTATTTTCCCGGCATTCAGGAGCTGCTTCGCGCCGATTTTCGATTTGCTTCTCGATATTGACGAGTCTGGCGCTACCGACGGAATTAATCGAACGTATCAAATAGGAGATTTATTGCAATCGATCTAATTGTACCGATTAAAGATTCATTAGCGCGAGAACGGAACAAAACCTTCGACGATCGCCATTTTTTTTTCCGCGCTCGAACGTGTCGAGAAAATTTCGCAGCGGCGAATTATTCATGTAATTCGACCGCCGCTCGGATCTAAGGCGGGGCGCAATTTGAATTTCAAAAACGCGGATGAAGCCGACTATACTCTCGTTTTTTTTTTCTTGCGTTTTTATCCTTTACGAGGCCGCGCTCTGAAAATTATTTACGAAGCCCCGTGGTATCGTTTACATCGGAGAATAATTTTTCCTGTATTTCCGGGCAATTTTATTTTTTTCTACAGGAAAAATATGAACACTGTAAGATTCGGATTAGTGCAACAGTATCTTACAGTAGCGGATGACATGGAACACGAAACGTGAATCGACTTAGATTATTCTACTGCAGGCGTCATAAACAGAACTAAGCAATCGTTTCTTAACCGTTGTAAAAAACAAACAAAAGAAACGCGTCAATTTAGCTCGATACTCGTCGAGGTTACTTCCTGCGCTCTCCAATCGATCCAAGGGCCTAAAGAGTCTAAGGATCGGTAATACAGGTGGTTCGATGATAGGTGCGTATCGTTGGGTATGTACACAGCACACGTGTTCGCGGACGCGCCCCAAAAGCAAACACGAATCCCTAGGTGATACGCGTTCCGAACCAGACCTGGGCACTTCTCAAATGATATTATTTGAAATATTATTTCAAATAACATGTTATTTTACTTTCTAATCGTTTGAAATAATTCTTGGAAATAATTGTGAAATTGTTCTTCAAAATTGTATCCGATGACTAGGTCTGAGTTTGATTTATTGACATTTTTATGCATCAATGCGATCGGAGATGTCGCTGAATCCAATGATACGCGAATGATTTTGTTTCGAAATCAAATGGCGACGATCAAGAACAAATGCAGCGTGAGAAGGGAGGGGGGGCATTGGCGGGCAATGAAATGGACCCCAGTGCTCAGATTTCTCACTTTTGCGAGAATTGGTGCCACGAGGGATCGAGAGAGTATGCTGAAAAAAGCGCGAGGATCGAGGAGATCCTGGACGAATCGTCATTCGATTTCGATCGAAACGGATATGTGAACCGGTAATACACAGGTAGCGATAAGTAAATAGAAACCGATTCAAAAGTGTTCGAAATTCTTCGGACAGTGATCGGTTTAGTTTGCGAAACGTTCGAAATATTCGAAATATTCGAACTATTCGAAACGACCGAACACACAGTTTGCGTCGAACATTTTGTTGTTTGAGAATCGCGAAGCACGTTTGGACCGTGTGTTCACAGACCCATCGCTATACACACAGGGCCTTGGACAATCCACGCCTGTTTAACCCTTTAAGTGTTTCATTTCATTTTTAAAATGTGCACTTGTTTGCTTAATTATTTATAAGCTATAACGAGTATACTCGACAAAAGCAGAGTGAAATGAATTTACTGTAAAATTGATATAAATTCTACAGACTCCTCTCGATTATTGTCTGGCTTGTTCTACACGATTATTGTCCAAGTGCTATCCCCACCACTGGGGGGGGGGGGTCAAGCACATATGTACTTCTTTGTCCCCTTGCTTCTATTGCCGATGCTCGGACTTCGGGCAAAAAACGAATTTACGAGGGTCTGAAGCATTTCTCTGAAGATAATCGAGAAGAATCTGTAATAAAATAACAAAATTACTCTTGCGACTTGAGGGCCATCTGTTAATAAAAGGGTCACTGCCTTATCAAACAGCCCTCGTGAATTATACTGCTGTATATATCGTGTTTTTTTATATTTTTTTTCTATTCTTTTTTCGACAAGAAATAGTCTAAATTGTGTTGAAATTTCAAATATTTCTCACCTAAATTTTACTTTAAATAGCAAATGCAATTTTTTGTTTACTTAATGGCGCAGTATGCTCGTCATTAAACCAAAGAAATTACATTTTTTCATGACGCATGTACTCGACATAAACATCGAAAGGGTTAAGAACGCGATTGTCGCGACGGCGTCTTTATCATGATGGTCGATGTTGTACAGACAAGGTCGATGGTGTACACATAATGTCGATAGGGTGTTGTTTCTGCTTCTACTGCAGAATTACGGGTTAACAAATTACTTGGGGCAGGGGGGGGGGGCGAGGGTGATTGTGTTTAATGGGGCGATGAATAAAAATCTTACTGCTAGTACCACAACTAGTTATCAATACATTACCTTGGCATTAATAACCAAACCAACCAACAGAACAATAAAAACAAGATAGAACGAACAAACTAACAAACATCGTCATGCGGTACACATACACGGGCGCGCGCGCGCGCCCGCCAGAGCGCCTACTATGGTATCAGAGTCGATGATGATGGTTTCACTTGGTCGGGGTCTGTTGGCGCGCGCTTTTTTTTGTTCCCTTTTTTTTTTTTTTGGTAGAAAATGGCACGTGGTTTATTTTTTGGTCACGCATGGGAGAGCGCGCATAGTGGATATATGCATACGCATGGTTTGAATCATTCAGACAAAACAAACGAAAAAACCAAACATACGATACAGAAAACCAAAAACAGAAGAGAGAAAACGAAACGGAAACAAAATCAACAACAAAAGATTACCAGACAGATAGAGAGAGAGAGAGATAGGTAGAGATAGAGAGAAAGAGACAACAAAGGAACGATATACATATGTATGTACGTAGAACAACTGAACGGTCCAACCTTCTGTTCTACGATCAGAGAGAGTCACACGTCCCATTTAAAAAGGACAAAAACAGTCTGGGTTCGTAAACGACTCTCGACGTTTAATCGAAATAAAAGTAAACAGGCATGAATGATCCAACGAATGGTCGGAGGGGGGTGGGAGTATAGGGGGGTTGTTGGGAGCTACAAGTAACAAGTGAGCACAGGTGACGGCTGTGGTGTTTACACGAAACAACGGAATAAACAGAAAGGAGGTAAACGAGAAACCGAAAGGAACGGGTGCGTGGGGAAAACGGGAAACGAATAAAATCGCGGAAACAAGAACGTGGAAAACGGAGGCTGGACGCGATTAGAGAGATCGTGGGGGCCACCCGGAGAGACCGTTCTCATTTACCCGATTCCAGCGTCGGATGGGAGGGGGAGGGGGTGGGGTGGGAACGCAGATGATACATACGTGAGGAAAAGAAAAATAGAAGAAGAACCATGGAAAAAGAAAATCAAAAAAGATGATAGGAAGAATGTAGCAGAGATCGATGTGAGAGAACTCAAACAGAACGAGGAACGAAAACGGAAGCAAGGGAGAAATCATATGAAAAATCGAAGAAGAACATTGAAACGGAAAGAAAGAAACATTGTACAAGACATACAGAGATAGAGTGGGAGAGATAGAGAGAAAATTTAAAGAAAAAAAAAATAGAAAAAGAAGAACGTCAGCTGCCAAGTCAAACAATCATCAAGCGGCGAAAAAGCCAAGGCTCTAAGCAACGAAGCAAGCCACCTCTTCAGCCCGTTATCGTTTCTTTATGGTCTTTTTTCGGTTTCTCTGCGCCTGTTTGCAGCCACACAGGTAGCCAGCCACAGCATCACGTGAATGAGGGTTGAAGGGGTTGGGGGTGCATTTTCTTGGCCGAGAAGCAACAGAGGCTCGACGGGCGTGGAAAGGAGGCGAGACAGTCAGGAAGAGAGAGAAAGAGAGAAATAGAGAGACAGGGGATGAAAGTCGTTCGCAGAGCGGCGATAAGGGTAGGCGGCGAGCTCTCTACCTCTTCATACGCTGCGCCCTAATTGTTATTCCGTTTCCTTTCTGGGTCGTTTCATTTCCGTTTTCGTTACTCGTCCAGGGGGGAAAGAACAGCGATACGCCTCGAACAGGGGAACGTGTGGCGGGATCAGAGGGGGTTACGAGACGGGGTCTAGGGCAGGTTTTTATGATGATGGTAGGCGATGGCCACTCGACACGCCTCGAATCGTTCCTGACCTCGGATTCCTGGTTCGCTTTGGATGCTATATCCCTCGAGTTGTTTAAACGTTTCTTTATTGCTTTCATACGCGTATAGTTATAGTTGTATTCGTGCGTTTGTTTATTTTTTTTTATTCTCGAGAAGGCTCGAGGATACTGACGTTTGTTCCGTGGGCTGGAGGGCTTGGTGCCGAAATACGACGAATTCGTCCCATTCTTGTTCACGAATATTAGTATAGTAAGTTGATTTAATATACAGGGTGTCCTAAAATAGCTTCGACTCCCTGAAATGAGGGGTTCCTGGGATGATTTGAAACAACTTTTTCCTTAGCAAAAATGGTATCCGAGGCTTCGTTAACAAGATATTAACGAAAAACCCCGACCAATCAGAGCGAGAGTCTGCCGGCCGAGTTCCCGCGGCAGTGTAAGCTACGCGTTGCGATTGGTAGCCAACGCTACCGCGGGAACTCAACCGGCAGACTCTCGCTCTGATTGGTCCCGGGTTCTTCGTTGATATCTCGTTAACAAGGCCTCGGAGAACTTTTTGGCTAAGGAAAAAATTGTTTCAAATCATCCCAAGAATCACCCTTTTCAAGGACTTACACCTATTTTCGGATAGCTTGTGTATTCGACGAAAAGTGACTTCCCTAACCAAAAATTCATGTTTGATGGATCTTCGAAACGCGTCAGCATCCTCTGTGCCCTAAAAGCTTGACGCAAAGAACACTTTATCGTACGTGGTCTCGGGTCCAAATCGACTCGCGCCCGTCAAAATGGCACCCCGCGAGGGTAGTGTCACTTGGCCATCGCCCGACAGCGGCGACAAATTGCGCGCGGCGATTTGCAACATAAGCGACAGAGAAGGGACGCCCAATCAACGTGCGCTCGTTTCCAAAAAGGATCGTGCACACCGTCTAGCGATCAAAAAAGCGTTCTCAAGAGACAGTGCTTTGGACAGTGGACTGATAAAATAAACAAAGTTGCGCGGCGCCACTTGTTCTTTCAGCTGCTTGCCGGACCTCACCGTTCCGAAACGGGACCAAGGTATTTTCTTCTGTTTTTTTTTTCTTTTCTTTCTTTTTGAGGTGGTTGGTAGACACGTCGAGAAACTCTGAGACTCTAGGTCCTAGAGGATCGTGGACTTCGGAGGGTGGTGCCTAATTCACAAGGTCTCGGTCGAAGCAAAACAGTATCCGCGACGGAGGGGCGTGTGGAAGCGGTTGACGGAGAATTGGAAACTTCGGAGAAATACAAGAGTACACAGCAAATCAGGCGAGAGTAACCAGAGAAATAGAGAGAAAGAGATAGAATGAAAGAGAAAGAAAGTAGAGGGTACTTCGCGTATGGTGGACGATTTACGATCGATACCGACGACGTCGTTTATTGTCATTTCTTCTTTCTTTTCTTTCCTTTTTTATTTGGCAGAGGTTTTTTCCGTCATTTCTTTTTTCTGTCGCGGGACTTAATCTCTCTCGAAGCGTGTTAGCTCCGGTGGCGGAACAAAAAATGGTCAAGATGGGGTAAGAAACTCCGCGGGAGGGGCTTCGGGTCCGTTCATGTCGAACACGAAAAGTCTCTCTCACGACCGATATATATTTATACACGTAAACATGTCACACATAACAAAAAAAAGATAGAATAGAAACACACTATTTTTCGGTTTCTTTCTCATCGCTAGGCGGGTGCCGATGGTGAATGTATAGAAGCGGTAGCCTATTGCTGCGGGTATATATATATGTATATATGTAATGTATAATGCGGCGGAAAGTAGAAGCGAATGTTTGTAATAAACCAACGAGCCAATCAGCGTAACAAGCCCCTGCGTCCATCCTCCTCCGGACCGCCGCGTCCCGATTTCTGAGACCACGACCACGAGGTACCATTTTTAATTCTTTTTCGTTTTATTCGTTTTTTCATTTCCTGGACGCTTCGATCGACGCCTCACCGTTCGTGCTTGCCGGGGGACTCGAAACACCACATTGCATGTACAATGTATAACGCATATACTCGGTTCTTTCTCTTATGTGCGTGTGTGTGCGTGCGTGCGTGTGTGCGTGTGTGTGTGTGTGTGTGTGTGTGTGTCCCTCTCATTGTCGCGGCGACAACGCAACTTTTTCACGTCACAAAAAATCGGATTCACGCGATCCTGCCCCCCCCCCTCCACCCTGTGATCCTCAGTGGTTCACTGTCAACGAACACGTTCGTTTAAAGAGCTCGCGAAGTGGAGCCTTTTCTCGTCCCTCACGGTTTGCGTGATCGGCGACCGAACGGGGGTAAACAAAGGATCGAACGGAGGGTCGTATCGGCGTCCAGTCACTCGGGGTCTCATGAAAACGGGGCCGGACGATAATGGTCCCGAGGGGCGGGTAACCGGCACGGTTCACACACCCACCCTCCCCACCCCCCTCCGAAATCCGTGCCGCACCCCCGTTTGTGGACGCGGGCTCTAGGCGCGCGTTCGTTATAGGGCGGGTTACCTTAAAAATAAGGTCGCTTTTGCTGAAACCGGACTTCTTTTTACTCATATTGTCAGAACTTAGGCGCCCCCTCCGCTCAGTGCGTTTTTTTTGTAGGTTCTGCAATATCTAGAAACAAAAGAAAGCGGGACATAGCAAGACGTAGTAGTAAGAAAAGGGGCCGGGGGTTATCAAGAGATTCGTAATAGAGAACTGAGAAAAGAGAGAGAGAGAGAGAGAGAGAGAGAGAGAGAGAGAGAGAAAGAATGAGAAATAGAGAGATAAAGACAGATTGAAAAACGGAAGAACGCAAGAAAACAGAGAAAAGGAAGAAGAAGAATCAGAGAAAATGATGGAAAATAAAAAGAATATGGTGGTTGGGTGAATGACGGGTGTGGTGGTCTGGCTGGAGGGTTCTATTAGTTGATAGAAATGTGCGTTGGTACAAGTATAGACGAAGAAGAGAGACAAAAAAAATGTGTATATATATATATATGTATATATATGAAGAAACAGAGACGAAAGAAGGAAGAGAGAACAGAGGGAACAGATCTGGTTGTAAGGCGACACAGGATTTCGAAAGTTCCCTTCGTTCGTTTTCGTTTTCCATACTTTTTTTTCTCTTCTTGCATTCACTTTCTTTGTTCTCCTTTTTTTTTCCTTGTCCTTCGTTCTTTTATGCCCCCCCTTTTCGTTTTTTTTCCTGGAGCGAAAAGTTTCGTGCGAGACACGGGCTACCAGGGGAGCAGCGACCTCCCGCGTGCATCGTTCCTAAAAGACACATACACGCGCGCGCGCACACACATACACACGTATACACAGATTAGAAACGGGATCCATCCTGTTTTCTTGCCTTTTCGACTGCGCGATCGTTCGTTCTCGTCTCCGAATGCAGAATCGTGATCGGGGTCTCCTTCCGGAGGGGACACATTAGTTTTGCTAGCTTCTCCATTTTTTTTTTCGTTGTTATCTTTGTCGTTTTCTGCCCGTTAGACGACGACGCCCCGACTCTGGTCGATCATTGCACGCACGCTTTTGTCCCCTCACCCGACGGGATCGATCTATCGATCGAGGGAATCCATATCGTGGGCTCATTCACACTTATTCCCATAAACACACACACACACACACACACAGAGCGGTTATCCATCTTCTTCTCGGTCGCTGGGTCGTGTGTGGGCACGTTGAGTTAAAGAGAACGAAAAAAAACATCGAAGTGAACAAATACTGAGGTGCTTCGTGTCGCTTCGCTGGTCCATGTGTATCCGACACGCTTGTATGTGTGTGGGTGTGTGTATGGTATGTACTTTGTATGCATAGTCTCACGGGACACACTATTCTCGTCCACAGTGCTGACAAGGTAAGGATCCCAACTCCGATTTTGCTTTTAACGGGGTTTTGTAAGTTCATGGTATACAGCAGGCCTATAATACCAGACCCCACCACACGCTTCTGTTGTGTTGTCATCCTCGGGCAGGAGGTGTGTGCACATGCTGTGACTGCCCCATTCCCAACACATAATCACTACGTCACGTGTGTCGCCAAGATACGATGAGTAGGGACTTCGGGATAGCCGAAAGTGGGGACAGTCAGCATGCGCGCGCACCTCCTGCCCGAAGATTACAACACAACAGAAGCGAGTGGTGGGGGCTGGTGTTATTGTTTATATAGCTCTACGGGCGAATGTTTGGCCAGACTTGGTATACAGGGTGTCCCAAAAAGATGGGACAATCTGCTACATGCATATTCCTCATGCAAATACAAATCGAAAAGTCCTTTACCGTTTTGTAATCTGAAGCTCCATTTCCGAGGTATTAACAGTTAAACGAATTTGCCGTTATGCGCAGACTCAGTCAAGAAGGGCATGACCTAAGTCACTGGCCTTTGCTTCTTGACCATGTGTGCGCGTACGTGTGGCCCACCGTTCAGCTGATTAGAGTTAGTTCAACCCTTCCGTGGGCAACCAACACGTCTATATTTTCTTTCAAACTTTTTTATGTTCTCGTCTAAAACAACACTTGGTATATCATAGGGAGGGAAAAGTACTCCCTGTTAAAATCGAAGTCGGACAATTGGGGTCCCTTGCTTTATGAGAGTCGTGGAGATACGGTGCACACACGCGGGTATGATTCTGTTGTGTGGCGCGTGTTTTATCGGCGAAAACACGAATCATCGTTGCGACGAACTGACGCGTTAGGTCTACTATCCACTAACACGTCTCGTCAAAGACGCGTCATAGACATTTGACACCTGCAGGATGCTTCTGTGTAGCGACCAATGTAAAACAATAGACGTGTGTCATGCGTTTTGGAACGTATGTATAGACACGTCCAATGTTTTAGATTGGTCGCTACATGGAAGTGTCCTGCAAGAGTCAAATGTCTATGACGCATCAATGACGAGACGTGTTAGTGGAAAGTATGCCTTAAGGATAAATCGTGTAACGGTAATCAATGGGGAGGGGGGGGGGGTGGCTGAACGAGTGTGTAAGAAGTAGAGTTTGATGATTCGTGAGTTAAGAAGTAAGAAATCAAGAAGCCATTCGTCAGGTCAAAGCTCTTATCGTTTGCCAGCAGTCGCGCGAAGCATGAAGCCGCGGTCTCTTTGTCAAGCTCGTATAAAGGCCCCAGAGAGAGATAGATAGAGATAGAGAGAGACAGATAAGTGGATAGATAGATAGAGAGAGAAAGAGTGAATGAGAGAGAAAGATCGATTATTCGGCGGTCGTGACAGCTACGACGAACAAATTCGTGATATATAGGGTGATACACCTTAAGCTGTGTCTACACTACATAACAAAACAGTGTTATATAACAAACTGTTATAGAACCATGCTGTAGAACATGTTTGCATAACTTATCACAAGATTACGTAACAACATTGCACGTCTTATTATTAATACTGGCGTCACACTTGACGGATAACACATAACTTGCTGTATAACATGAAAAATGTTATGTAACGTCATGTTATATAACATTTTTTCTTTCTGTTTTGCTAATAATGCACAGCTTAATCCTATCACCTAAATTACTTGTAAACTGTTCGTTGTATGAAAAAAAAAGTTTCAAATAAAGACTCCGTGGCATTGTGAGTGTTTGTATTTGTGTGTCTTTCTCGACTTTGTCCGTGTGATCGATGTCAGCTCGGGGTGGAGGGAGTCGAGATTTCGCGGGAACTTCGCGGTGGAAATGAAAAAGTGTCTCGAGAACCAACGTTGTTCGTCCTGCTTGGAAAGAAGAAACGGAGGCTCGTAGTCGGAGAATGAAAATGGGACACGATGAAATTAAAAGAAGTATTGTGGGACGCTGTTTAATCAAGGTTTCGCGCTGGATTAGGTATCCCTTCCCAAAGTTTCGTGCACATCGAGGAACATAAATAAAAAGAAGAAAAACGATAATAAAAACCAATCGTGGGATAAACATTGAAAATATATTACTACGATCGAAGCGTCTGTTCTCCCTGTTGCGAAACACTCCGTTTTGTATTCGAAGCGAAATTTCCGATTCAGTTACCGGATGTTCGTGTACAGAAATATATGCAGAGAAACGAAAGAAAACTGATAGAAATTCTTCAGCAGTTGGACAGATTCTTGTGGGTCATTCACTTTCGATCCAAATCCATTACCCAACTGAAAGTCTGTTCCACGAAAACATACCTCTTCCTGTGCGTTTAATTGTGTAAAATACCCTGTGTAATAGCTGCCCCTTAAGAAAAAAAACAACAAACGATCAGAAGATTTATCATTCGATTCACGATCGCTACTACACGCGTAACTTCGAACCGATCCTGTCATCCCTTTCTCGTACTCACAAGGGAAGATCCCGAATTGACAATCGTCGATTTTGATGCAACTCTGTGAGGTTATAGTTCTCATAAAAATATTTAACACGTATTTTTTTGTAGCTGCACTTATCCACGTTGAAAGGGGTGAAAACAGCCCTCGAAGTTAGGGGTGTGAAAAGAAAAACAAAATGCGTCCAATATTTTCATAAGAGCTACAATCTTACAGAGTTGCGTCAAAATCAGCTATTGTCAATTCAGGGTGCTCTCTTGTCAGAGTATCAAAAATTAAAAAGAAAACAACGATCGTCCATGTTCCATCGCGAGGGCGTGTCCCGCGATCGTGAAGCACCGAAGGGGGGGGGGGGGGGGGGGGGGGGGGGGGGAGGGAGGAGGAGGAGGAAACGAATTCGTTTTAGGGACGACCAGGCAGCAATTTATCACTTCTCCGCGACAGCTATGATTAATCGTCGCCCTAAGGATCCATTTTTGGCCCGGAGGTTCTCGAGGCGCCCGTTCGTTGAAATGGCCGCCGCTCGGAGAGAGTAACCTTATTACCCGGTCACTCGTCGATTTCACGCCTCGCCGGAAGCTGCGACGAAAGCCGAACGGTGAAATCGACGTGAACCGAGGAGAAGATTCACGAGATAGGGAAAACTTTTTTTCACGACAGGAAGGATAGAATGTCCCCGTGATTTCTCGGTATCAAGTATATGTACAATAGCATGGTACAAATGAAAAAAAAAAAAGTTTTCGATTCAAATGTCAGATTATTTAATTCAAAGAATAGGTGCCTCGAAAAGTGTGCGCACAAATCGTTCGAAAATCCGGGTTTAAACAAACTAAAAAATTGTTTCTTTCCGATTTCTTGTTCCTTAATGTCCAAAGGATTCTACTGAGATGGTTAAAAAAAAAAACCTCGAAGTCCGATACTGAAATTTCCGTTCGTGTAATGCAGTGTTTTACACGATTCGGTCCCACTGTGCGTTCCGTGGAGGCTACAGAAAGACTCCATGAACGGCAAAACACAACCGATCCACGAGAAGAATACGACTCTTATGTGCTAGCCGAGCTTTCAGAACACCGAGCACGCGAATAGATGTTTACGAGAGGAACAGGTTGCACGGAACCTTCGAGCTTCTTTGAATTTATGATACCAGATATCTACAAAGAACCAGGGAACAGCAAGCACCTTTGGAGATAAGTCGGAATGCAAACGGGCTTTAAAGTCTGTCGTTTCGAAAGGGGGGAAAAGTTACGGGGAATTCGAGGAGGAAGGGATTGAACAGAAAACGGGAGCACACACACATACACACTGGAGAACGCGGGCAGATCGCCAAAAATGT